TGCCACTGGGGTGCCTGGCCAGTCTGGGTGAGGAGCTGAGGGCCGTTTTCAGGCTGGCCAAGCCCCCCAGCGACGGAAGATCCCAGCCCCTCGTTTTTTTCTTTTTTTTAATTCTGGGATTTATTTACCTTCTGTAATTGAAACTTTGTTGCCTTCAGTGGAGCTCAGAGCCAGCTCCTGCTCGCTCCAGCTCCGTGGTGACAGCCAGCTGAAAGCAGGTTTCTTTTTTTTAATTCTGGGATTTATTTATCTTCTATAATTGAAACTTTGTTGCCTTCAGTGGAGCTCAGAGCCGGCTGGGAAGCTTGGCTTCCTCCATCAGTGGAGCAACCAAGCCTCCTGCTCGCTTCAGCTCCATGGCTGCCAGCTGCCATCTTGGTTGGGTTAATTTGTATATAGTCGCTCTGATTGACTGGTGGGCATAGCGTAAGGCATATGAAAGGTACGGTCAATTGCATGTTTCTCTTTTATTAGATTAGACTAGAGTCCTGGTGCATGAAAATTCATGCACTGGATGGGGGGATTCCCTCAGCCCAGCCTGCCCCCTCGGGGCAAGAGGCGACCCGGCAATCAGCGGAAGGCCATGCCCCATCACACCTCTGCTGCTACTACTGCCAGCAGCGCAAGCCTCAGCCGGCCCTGGTTACCTGAGCCTCGGGCAACCCTCGGCAGCTGGACAGCTGCCATCCGAGGCTTGCCTGTGCCTCTGGCTGGCCCTGAGTGGCTGGGGCCTGAGAGGACTAGGTGTCTCCGGAGGTAGGCACATGTAGCGGCCAGGCCCAACTGGGGGCAGGCCTGGCTTTGCCGTGCGCCTACCACCCTGGCGGGGCTGAGGTGATTGGGCGCCGCTTTCTTTGGGAGCGTGGCAGTCAATTAGCATATTCCTTTATTGTCTGTGTGTGCCACCATCTTTGAGATCAGGGCAGTCAATTAGCATATTCCCTCTTTATTAGATAGAACTAGACACCCAGTGCATGAAATTTGTGCATGGAGAGGGGGTTCCCTCAGCCCAGCCTGCACCCTCTTCAATCTGGCACTCCTCGGGGGATGTCCAACTGTCTCTCGCAATCCTGGACCGCTGGCTCCTAACCGCTCGCCTGCCTGCCTGATTATTCCTAACCCCTCTGCCTGCCTGCCTGCCTGCCTGATCGCCTCTAACCATTTCTGCCTGCCTGCCTCCCTGATTGCCCCTAACTGCTCCGCTGCTGGCCTGATCACCCCTAACCGCCTCTGCCTCACCCTTGCCCCACATCTGTTACCCTGGATTCCCTCCTCTGATTGGTCACAGGCACCCGGGACCTGGGCTTCTCCTCCTCTGGCCAGCTGCAGGCACACAGGACCCGGGATGGCTTCGCCCGCGCTGGCTGCAGCAAAAGAGGACAGTGGGTGGGCGGCTTCGCCCAGGTCGCAGGTGCCCAGCACTGCGGGGCCGGTGGCTTGTCCCTCTCCTGGGCTGCAGGTGCAGACACAGCTACTGATGCCTGGGATTGCAGGGACCGTGGGGCGTGTGGATTTTCCCTCTCCTGGGCCACAGGCACAGGAGCAGCCACTGGCGCCTCAGACCACAGGGTGGACAGCTTGTCCCTTTCCCGGGCTGCAGTTGTAGACGCTGCTGCCCGGGATCTCAGGGTGTGTGGCTTGTCCCTCTCCTGGACCAGGCCGCAGGCGCAGCCACTGACATCCGGGACCGCGGGGTGGGCATCTTGTCCCTCTCCTGGGCCACAGACCCAGCCACTGGCTCCCCATTTGTGCCTAGCTGGTCCCCATTCCTCTCTCCCCACTGTGAGCTCAAGAGAGAGGAATGGGAACCAGCCAGGCTGCGGCTGGGAAGGGTCAAGCTGCCTGCTCCATGGTCCTGGGTACCAGCAGCTTTGCCTGCCCGCCTGTGGCCCGGGAGAGGGACAAGCTGCGCACCCCACGGTCCCAGGCACCAGCGGCTATGCCTTAGCTTGCGGCCCGGGAGAGGGACAAGTCGCAGGCTCTGTGGTCCCGGGAGCCAGTGGCTGGGTCTGTGGCCCAGGAGAGGGACAAGATGCCAGTGTCTGATCCGTTACGGTGTGACAGTATGAGGGCCTGACAACCATTTGTATATTAGCTCTTTACTAGAGGCCAGGTGCACAAAATTCGTGCACTGGGGGTTGTCCCTCAGCCCAGCCTGTACCCTCTCCAATCTGGGACCCTCATGGGATGTCCAACTGCCAGTTTAGGCCAGCCTTATCACCCCCTAACAGCTCCCCTGCCACCCTGATTGATGCCTAATTGCTCCCCTGCTGACCCAATCGTCCCAACTGCCCTCCCCTGCAGGCCTGGTCCCCCCCAACTGCCTTCCCCTGCTGGCCTATTTGCCCCCAACTGCCCCCCACACCCCCCTGTCGGCCTGATTGCCCACAACTGCCTTCCTCTGTCTACTTGGTTTCCTTTTTATTGCAAACACAATAATGTGTTTCAATAACATGTTTTTATGTAAAAATTATATTTTATATTTCTCCATTGTGTGGTATCTTTGAAAGCAGTCTCCAATATGCAGTCCTGGTTTTCAACTACATGTATCGCAAAAATAGTTTGGTGTCTTCCGCCCCCTAATCTTTCTGTTCGAACATACAGAGCAATCTTTACTTTTCACACCTTCACGGTGCCACAATATATGCAGTTTCCCATTAAGCCTTTCATCTTTATCTGAGGCCAATGGTCTTCCCAATGTTTTGGTTCGTGACAAGGTCGCTTCGAGACTTAAGAGCTTTCAGAGAAATAATGAACTGATACATGAATGAATAGAGTTAAGATTCATACGGTTCCTTGCTGTGGTGGCTGAGATCAGACATATGACCGGAACGGTAAGAAAGCTTTGGTGGCTGAGAGTAGACAAACAACCGCAAAGGGTTAATATAGGTAGATTCAGGAATACTGGGATTAGGACTTCAGCATATGAACTTTTGGGGGACTTGATTCAGCCCGTAATAACAACCTACCCTCAGAAGTCACAGCATCACTTTGCTACCTTTCCCTGTTCAAGGGAGTGGGAATTAGGCTTCACACCTTGATGGAGGGGAGTACTCATGTTAAAGAAGGTTCTAGAAGAGCATGTGGAACAGGAGATAATGTTGCTGCTATCTTTGGAAAATGTAATCTGTTGCTTGACCCAAACTACAAGTCTTGTTCTTTTAATGGTTAAGTTTGTCTCACTTGACTATTGGTATCAGATATATTTACTTTTTAATTGTTTTTCCCTATTTTTTTATATTTTCTTGTCTTTGTTTTGCTATGTAGGTTCTTGTTTTCTTTGCATG